GCCTGGTTTTTGGCACATAGTAAGTGCTCATGAAATGGTAGCTATTAATGTTGTTGCTTTCGTCATTTCTGATTTCTGTTTGCTAATTGTTCTGTACTCCCAACAATCAGTGTATCTTATGAATGGATGAGAGTTTTAAAGTTTTGTCCCCCAATCCACTTAATTTACAGATAAAGAAACACCTGTCTGTAAAATATCTAAGAGGTCATACGTTTGTCTATGGTCATATGGAATGACCGGCGCAGAATGACAGAGGTAAGGTCTCTTGATTTTCACACCAGAGTTCATTCTGCTCAAAATGCTCAAGTACTTTCTTTGGCTGTTCCTCAAAACATGATCATTTTTCCTGATTTTATATTTTTCTGATTACTTACAGTTTTAGTTCTAGCTTGCTAGCATGCGAACTTTAGGCCAAAATAATTGGAAGGTGAAAACACTAATCATAGGAAAAATGATACAAAATAATTAGAAGAAACTCATATGCAAAGAAATACTGTAGAATAATGACTTTATTACGAATGACTATAAACCATTTTCTCTCTGATTTTCTAAAAGACTCTTTTTTTCAGGAAAAAAGGATGTTTGATGGATATTCTAATATATACTCTTCATACATGCACCTATTTAAGTCTATATAATAAAATGTTTTTGAGGGTTTTTTCTCTAAATGTTTGAGGTAAACAAGAATGAAGATTTTGGAGAGGGCGGGAGGAGAGAGAGACCCAGGGCTGCTTTCCCTGTGATGGAAGGGAGTTCACCAGGAACAGATGGTGGGTGCCTCTTGGTTGGGTCATGGGCACTGATGAAGGACTTCACTTAAAGCCCAAAGCAGAAGAGGGAATTAAGTAAGGGATTCTTGCTGATGGCTAGACTATGAAACTGGGAGCTGAGGAGAGGCACTCCTCCCTCGTGCTGCTTCGGCATCACCTCAGTCTGTTTTCCTGGGCCTCTAGCCCTCTTGCCTGCAGTGTCTCCAGACCACCCCTGACCTGGGAGGGCATAACCCAGAAAGCCTACTGGATACATGAGAACAGTAATAGTACCACTGTGGTTACTTGGGTCAAATTGAGTAAGGTTCCTTTTATTCTTATTTACATTAGCAAAATGTGCTTATCACAATTAATGCAAATAATATGAAACTGTTAGAGTCAAAAACCAGGTCATCTTGGCCCATAGCACATGGTATCTTGTGTTTTTTATTATTTCTCTTAAAAAAATGTAGTCCTTACTTGAGGATATGTTAATTGATTTGAGAAAGAGAAACATAGGTGTAAGAAACATGGATCAACTGCCTCCCATATGCACCTGACAGGGGATCGAACCTGCAAGCTAGCTATTTGCCCTGACCAATGATTGAACCCACCACCTTTTGGTGTATAGGGCAATGCTTCAACCAACTGAGCCACTTAGCCAGGGCCATGGTATGGTGCTTTTTTACTTCACTATATGTACTGGAATTCTTGTATGTAGTGAATATAAATCACCTCATTGTTTTCAATCATCATGTAGTATTATACAATATAAATGTACCATATTTCAATTAATCGTTCTTTAGCTGAGGGAATTGCTGCCCTTTTCCAATTTTTCTTTATTATAAATAAAGCAAAAATGACTATTCATTTTTATTTATTTTATTAACATGTATGAATATTTCAGAAGAATAGATCCTTAGAAGTGGACTTTAGAACTCCAAGGGTATGTGTATTTTAGATTTTGATAGGTATGTTTAAGTTTTCATCAAAAAAATCGTACCAATTTACAATCGTACAATGGGTGATTTGAAATCACCCATTTCCAACCGATAATTGTTGTGTCAATCTATTAAATTTTTAACAATTTGATTAGTTACAAAATATGCCCTAATTGTTTATTTCCTTTATTAAGATTAAATTTTTAAAAATATCAATCATTCTTTTTCTGTGTGTGAATCATCTCTTCCTTTCTTTTACCCAGTTTTACATTTATATCATTCTAATAATTCTAGGGGCTTTGAGTAGATTTTATGTATTAAACTTTGCTTTATATATTTGTAAAGGCTTTCATGAGAATCTTTTATTTTGGTGTCTTTTGTCAGACAGGTCTTTAAGTTTCTTTGAAGTAAGACCTTTAGTTAATGTCTCCTCACATTTGTCCTTCTTAGAAAGACCTTTTTGTCCCCACCCCAAATTATAAAAACTAATTTATTTATTTATTTATTTTGTATTGATTATGCCATACAGTTGTTCTATTCCCCCCTTCATTCCCCTCTACCCTACCCCCTGTCCCCACCATTACCCCCCTTTAGTTTATAACCATGTGTCTCAAGTTCTTTAAATTCTATATTTCCCATACTGTTCTTGCCCCCATCTATTTTCTATCTACTGTCTATGCTACTTATTTTCTGTACCTTCTCCCCTCTTTTCCTCCTCCCACTCCCCTGTTGCTAACCCTCCTTGAGATCTTCGTTTCTATGTTTCCACTCCTGATCTAGCTGTCCTTTTAATTTGCTTTTGTTTTAGGTGTGGTTGTTAATAACTGTGAGTTTGCTGTCCTTTCACTGTTCATGTTTTTTTAACTTCTTTTTCTTAGGTAAGTTTCTTTAACATTTCATATAATAAGGGCTTGGTAATGATGAACTCCTTGAATTTGATCTTATCTAAGAAGCACTTTATCTGTCCTTCCATTCTAAATGAAAGTTTTGCTGGATAGAGCAATCTTGGTTGTAGGTCTTTAGATTTCATGACTTGGAATACCTCTTTCCAGCCCCTTCTTGCCTGTAAGGTCTCTTTTGAGAAATCAGCTGACAGTCTGATGGGAACTCCTTTGTAGGGGACTGTCCCCTTATCTCTTGCTGCTTCTAGGATTCTCTCCTTCATTTTAATCTTGGCTAATGGAGTGATGATGTGCCTTGGTGTGTTCCTTCTTGGGTCCAACTTCTTTGGGACTCTCTGAGCTTCCTGGATTTCCTGGAAGTCTATTTCCTTTGCCAGCTTGGGGAAATTCTCCTTTATTATTTGTTCAAATAAGTGTTCCACTGGTGGCTGTTCCTCTTCCCCTTCTGGTACCCCTATAATTTGGATGTTGGAACGTTTAAAGATGTCCTGGAGGTTCCTAAGCCTCTCCTCATTTTTTTTGAATTCTTGCTTCTTCACTCTTTTCTGTTTGGCCATTATTTGCTTTCTTCTGGTCCACTCCATTGATTTGAGACCCAGTTTCCTTTTCATCGCTATTGATTTCCTGTGAAATTCCATTTATTTCAATTAGTTTCACCTTCATATGTTTCTCTAATTTGTGGCTATAATCAACCAGTTCTGTGAGCATCCTGATCACCAGAGTTTTAAACTGTGTGTCTGAGAGTTTTGCTGTTTCTTCATCGCTTAGATTTATAGGCTCTGGGGCTTTGAGTTCTTCTTGAGCCATTTTTGGTCTGTGTGCACACCCGTTAAGTGTGAGGAGCGGAGCCTTGGACTCCCAGGTGGCTGGGTTGTGACGCTGTATGTGGGGGCGTCGTCAGAGTGGGGAAGTGGCGGCCCCCTCTGCTGTTTCGAGCACCTGGGTGAGTAGAAGAGCCTTGGGTGGTTCACCAGGGCCGGGCCACTTAGGTCGCTGGGTTATGATGCTGTATGTGGAGGCGGGGTCAGAGCGGGGGAAATGGCGGCGCCCTCTGCTGCTGCTTGCGGTGGGGACCCGTTGGTTCCGGTCCAATCGCCCACTCCCTCGCTTGTCTATCCGCGCACAAATGCGCGACCACAGTCAACCCGCAGCCCTGGTCCCTTGCTGTTTCCCCGCAGCAGCTCACCTGGTTGTTCGCTCAGTCGCTCACTAGGTCCAACCCTGCACCTGGATTCCGCACGCGCCTGAGTCCGTCTGACCGAGTTTTCCTGTGCTACCCAGCTCTGCCAGCTGCTGGTTTCGCCCCTTACCGGTCAGGCTGAAGAATTTGTTGTTAACAGACTTCCGAAAAGTTCAATTTTCTGTGTTCTGACTGTGTTTTCTGTTGCTAATATTTAGTTGTCTCTAAACTTGGTTGTGTGAGAAGGCACAGTGTCTCCACCTATGCCTCCATCTTGGCAGAAGTCCAAAAACTAATTTATTATATTTTACTTCAGTTTCTTTTTGATAGGATTTTTAAAAAATGGTGTTTAGAATTTAATCCATTTGCATTTTTTATGTATTCTGTGTTACTGGCATCTGAATTTTTTTCAGGATTTTCAGCCCTCTCAGTATAATTTTTGAACAGTTTGTTCTTTTTACTCTGACTCAAATGCTCTCTTTTTATATTCTAAATGTCCCTTTGTTTCTGACATGTTTTCTCAGTTTAATTTACCTTTGTCTTTATTCTGAATCAATACAACATTGTTTAGTGTAAACTTAATGTGGTTGATCATTGAAATGTCAGGTCTTCCCTTATTGTTCTTTTTTTTTATTTTTTAATTTTATTGTTTGTTCTTGTGCATTTTCTCTGCCATGCAAATTTTAAAATTAGCTTACCAAGTTCAATAAGTCTCCTGTTAAGATTTTATTACAATTGCACTGAATTTGTAGGTTAATTTGGGAAGTTGACATCTTTAGAATATCAAGTTTTTCATCTAGAAACGTGTAAATTTCATCCATTCAGGTCTTTTTTTACTATAGTCAATAAAATTTGATAGTTTTCTCACGTGGATCTTTTATTGCTCTTGTTGGTTTATTAAAATCTTAGGGGATTTTTTAAAAAGCTTATACTGCCATTGGGAATGAGATCTTTAGATTTTTGTTTTTCTACAGAGAAAGGATATACGAGAAGGGGGAAAAAACAGGAGTTGAAAAAATAGGAGAGAAAAGAAAAAGAAAGAAAAAAGATGAGATGATGTGGAAAGAGAGGGGAAATTTAAATTTTTAATGAATATAGCAGGTCCTCAATTAATGCCTTTTCATTATAATGTTTATGATAAAAGAAAATCAGTTCCTTGTCAGGGCCTATGTGTGGAGTTTGCATGTTCTCCCCATGTCTGCATGGGTTTTTTCCAGGTACTCCAGTTTCTTCCTACATCCCAAAGATGTGTACATGATATTCATAGACATATCTAAATTGTCTCAGTCTGAGTAAGCGCAGGTGTGGGTGTGATGGAAGGACATCCTGTCTAGGGTAGGATTCCACCTTGTGTCCTCAGCTGCCAAAAGAGGCGCTGGCCACCCAAGACCAGGAACTGGAGTAAGTAGATTGGAAAACCATTATCTTCCTTGTTTTTATTAACATTTCCTGAATGTCACCTTAGCTCACATTTAATTCAATGTTTAATATTAGAAGTGTTTTGGGTCTTTATTTTGAAGTTTGGTGATATATTTGTGACCTGATTTATGCTATAGGAACTAACTCTTAGCCTATGGTAAAACTGGTTTCTTTTACCAATTTTAACGTCAGTGTCTTAAAATCTCAGTTTCCAGAGTTCCAAGATGGTGGAGGAATAAATGGAAGCTATACTAACCTCCTCCCAGGACAAATCCGGAATTACAACTAAATTGTACATAATTCATCAAGAATGACCAACTGAACACTAGCTGGAGAGAAGCTTTATAACCATGGCCAGATAGAAGAAACCACTTCACCATGATGTGAGTGGCAGGGAGTGTAAAGAAGGTATAAGAGGGCAAGCTGTGCTCCCACGGGCAGCAGCTGAAGTTCCGAAGGGATATTTCAGTGGCTGGGGTGTTCCCTTAGAGAAATGTGGAGTCTAAACCTCAAGCTGGGCTCCCCAACCTGTAGCACGAGAGCCAGAAAGGAACCCAGATAACATCCAGCTATGAAAAGCAGTAGCATTTGTGTCTGCCACAGAGAAACAGCTGGAGCTGCAGAGAACCTCATAAAGGGCCAATGCACAAAATTTCACTTGCAGCCACTTAGCCCAGGCTCCAGCAGAGGGATGGTGCAGTGAACTAGAGACACTTGAGGAGAGTCTGGGGCTGGTGGCTCAAGGGAGAGAACTGAAGTAACAGCTATCAGGATCCCTGTGTTGAGTAATTTCCCATACTGCAGAACCCATCTTTCTCAGGTAGAGCAGTTCCCTCGAAGCTGGAATCAGCTGGAGGGGAAGCAATAGCTCTACCCACAGGAATTACTCAGCCTCACATTGTGGTGCTTAAGCCAACTGCTGATTACAGTTTGAATATAGTAACAACTGATCAGTTGGACAATTGATTAGTTTAATATCTAAGGTAGAAAATACAAAGAAGCACCCAAAATGGGAAGACAAAGAAACAGACCCCAAGTGAAAGAACAGGAGAATTCTCCAGAAGAACTAGATGAAATGGAGTCAAGCAATTTATCAGATAGAGAATTTAGAGTAATGATTATAAGGATATTCAACAACATGAAAAAAGACACGGAAACCATAAAAAAGGACCAGTCAGAAATAAAGAATGCATTATCTGAGATAACTAATACAATGGAAGGAATAAACAATAGGTTAGATGAAGCAGGATAGAATCAGTATTTTGGAAGTCAAGGTAGAAAGCACCCAGCCAGAGTAGCAAAAAGAAAAAAAGAATTGTAAAAAATGAGGAGAGCTTGAGAAGCATTTTGGATAACATGAAGCATAAAAACATCTACATCATGGGAATACTAGGAGGAGAAAAGAGAGAGCAAGGGATTGAGAACCTAATTGAAGAAATAATGACTAAAAAGTTCCTAATCTGGTGAAGGAAAAAGTCACACAAGCCCAGAAAGTTCAGAGAGTCCCATACAAGTTGGACCCAAAGAGGCCTACACTGAGACATATCATAATTAAAATAACAAGGCTTAAAGGCAAGGAGAGAATCCTAAAAGCCACAAGAAAAAAGCAGGTAGTTACTACACGGGAGCACCAATTAGACTGGCATCTGATTATTCAGTAGAACCATTTTAGTCCAGAAAGGAGTGGTGTGAAATATCCAAGGAGGTGAAAAGCAAGGACCTATAACCAAGGCTACTTTACCCAGAAAGGCTATCATTTAAAATTGATGGAGAAATAAGGATCTTCCCAGACAAGAAAAAGCTGAAGGAGTTTGTTAACACCAAAACAGTATTGTAACAAATGTTAAAGGGCTTGCTTTAAGAAGAAGAAAAAGAAAAAGAGAAAGAAAAAAACAGGAAACAGTCTAACAATGAAATGGCACTACATAAGCATCTATCAGTAATCACCTGACATGTAAATGGCTTAAATGCTCCCACCAAGAGACAAAGGGTAGCTTAATGGATAAGAAAACAAGACCTATGTATATGCTGCCTCTAAGAGATCCATCTCTGATCAAAAGTTACACACAGACTAAAAGTAAAGGGTTGGGAAAAAGATGTTTTATGCAAATAGAAAAGAAAAAAAAGAAAAGCTGAAGTAGCAGAACTTATATTTAAAAAATAGACTTTACAATCAAGGCTATAGTAAGAGACAAAGAACACTACATAATGATAAAGGGAACAATCCAACAAGAGGATATAACCCTAGTAAACATGTATGCACCCATCAGAGAAGCACCTAAATATGTAAAGCAAATCTTGATAGACATAAAGGGAGAGATCAACAGAAGAACAGGCACAGTTGGGGACTTTAACACCCCATTGACTTCAATGGATAGATCTTCTAGGCAAAAAATTAACAAGGATACAGCAGCCTTAAATGACATACTAGATCAAATAGATTTAATTGATATCCTCAGAGCATTTCACCCCAAAGCAGGAGAATATACATACAAAGCAGGAGAATAAACTTAACCAAGGATATAAAAGACCTGTACTCAGGAAATTATAAGACACAGAAGAAAGAAACTGAAGAAGATGCAAATAAGTGGAAACACATACCATGTTCATGGATAGGAAGAATTAATGTCATTAAAATATCCATACTACCCAAAACAATCTATAGATTCGACACAATTCCTGCCAAGACTTCAATGATGTATTTCTCAGAACTGGAATATGTATTACGAAAATTGAGATGGAACCACAAAAGGCCTCACATAGCAACAGTGATCCTGAGAAAGAAAAACAAAGTTGGAAGAATTATGCTACCTAATAACAAACTGTACTACAAGCCCATATTAATCAAAACAGCTTCATACTGGCATAAAAACAGGCACATAGATCAATGGAACAGAATAGAGAGCCCAGAAATAAACCCCCACCTTTATAGTCCATTAATATTCAACAGAGGAAGCAGGCATCTTCAATGGGCTAAAGAGGGTTTATTCAATGAATGGTATTGAGAACATTGGACAGCTACATGCAGAAAAATGAAACTAGCCCACCTTTTACACTATACACAAGAATAAATTCAAATTGGATCAAATACTTAAATGCTAGGCCCAAAACCATAAAAATCTTTGAAGAAAACATAGGTAGCAAAATCTTGGACATTGCTTGAAGAAATTTTTTTATTGGATATATCTCCCCAGGCAAGGGAAATGAAAAAAAAAACACAAACAAAAACAAATGGGACTTCATCAAACTACAAAGTTTTTGCACAATAAAGAAAAACATCAACAAAATAAAAAGACAACCCACAGAATGAAAGAACATGTTGGCCAATATATCTGATAAGGGGTTAATATCCAAAATTTCTTAAAAACTTACAAAACTCAACACCAAAAAAACAAACAACCTGATTTAAAAATGGTCAAAGGACCTGAATAGACACTTCTCCAATGAGAACATACAGATGGCCAATAGACATATGAAAATGTGCTCAATGTCACTAATCATCAGAGAAATGGAAATTAAAACCACAATGAGATAGATACCATCTCACAACTGTCAGAATGGCCATCATCAATAAATCAACAAACAGCAAGCATTGACAAGTATGTGGAGAAAGGGGAACCCTTTTGCACTGTTGGTGGGAATACAGACTGGTGCAGCCACTGTGGAAAATAGTATGGAGATACTTCCAAAAATTAGAAATGGATCTGCCTTTTGACCTGGTGATCCCAATTCTGGAATATATCCAAAGGAACCCAAAACACAAATTCAAAAGAATGTAAGCACTCCTATCTGCATTGAGCGCTATTTACAATTGCCAAAACATGGAAGCAGCCTAAGTGCCCACCAATAGATGAGTGGATAAAACAACTATGGGACATTTACACAGTGGAATTCTACTTAGCCAACTAGAATTCCTGTAAAAAAAAGGAAAAACTTTTACCCTTTGCAACAATGTGAATGGACCTGGAGAACATTATGCTACATGAAATAAGCTAGTCAAAGAAAGACAAATACCTTACAATTTTACTTATATGTGAACAAACTGAACTAACAAGCAAAACAAAGACAAACTCATAGATGACAGCTAGTGGGGGCAGGGTGGTGGTGGTTAGGAGTTGAAGGGATTGAGCAAAATGGAAAAAGCACTCAGGACATGGACAATAGTGTGGTGATTTCTGGGGGAAGGAGGGTGTAAGGAAACTAAATGGTAATGAAAAAATACAATAAAAAATTTTAAATATCAGTTTCCAATAACCTGTCCACAAGATTAAATAAGGACTTCTTTTCCCTATTATGTCGAGTGCCCAGTGGTAGAGGCATTGACAAGCACCGCCTTCTGGGCTCTTCCTGACAGGTGGCTCATTTGAGAAACCCAAAGATTAAAAAGGTCAGCAAGGCAGCATGGAACAGGAAATGGAAAGAGAACAGGTTGGAGTGAGATCTGGGAACCCATCCCAGATTCCATTCTCACCAGCTGTGAGATTTTGCTCCAGTCACCTAATTACATTCCTCATTTGTAAAACTTGCATAATATCTGCTCGGGTGCTTGCGAGGATTACTTCGGATAACATATCTAAAGTGTCTGCTGCCTTAGATGCCACTCTCCAGGGGTGCCAGGTCCCACCTGTGAACCCACCTCTTCCCACCCTTCACCCCACCCCCTCCTCTCTGCCATGGCAATCCCAGAGTCTGCTCCCACAGCACACAGCCTTCACGTGAACATGCAATGAGATGTTAATTTCGTGAATGTCTGACACCCAGGAGCACATACCTAACATTCTTTAGAAACACTGTAGGAGAAACAGCTCTTAGGAGCTGTGATCTGAGTCTGAAAAAAAAATCACATAAGCCTGAAAAAAAGACTCACCCATTTTTACAAAAGGAGGCATTGTTGAAATGTGAATCTTCATTTAAGCCCCAATCCCCAGTGAGAAACACCCTCTATTTCTGCTGGGACAATAGTTCCTTGTCCCTTGACAATGCTGGCTGCATAGCCCTGGAAAGCATCAAATCCCCATGGCAATGGCAACGGTTTCTCTGGGGACACTGGAAACAGTGTCTGGAGGAACGGCACCACCTGACCCAAGGCCTTGGCCATTGAAAGGGGGCTCCGTTCCCCAGCCAGAGCAATAGGAAAATAGAACTGGCCTTAACGTCCTGGTGACATTCATCCTGGTGACATCTTGTATTTGCTGCAGGGCTCCAACTCTCCCTCCAGGGAAGCTGTGCGTATGAAGCTGAGAGAGAGAAAAGTGAGACATACTGAAATGCCCCAAATGGCTGTCCTCTTCTGGGAAGCTTGTACACTTGTTCCCAAAATGCTGCTCTTACCCATCAAGAAAATGTGTGAACTGGCCTGCATTTCAGTCTCCCTGCTCTGCAGCTGGAAGCTTGAAGGAAATTGGCTCACCTCTTTCTGAGCCTCATTTTTTTCCTTTGAAAAATGAAGTTAATAACAAGGACCTCAGGTGATTACTGTGAGGATTAAATCACACAAATATAAAGATATGCTCAATAGAAATTAGAATTATTATTTTATCTTATAGGGAATCACATTCAGAGCCTCTGAATGTCTGCAATGATTCTTTGTTTCACTTTTCAAGGGGAAATTTGATTTCTGCAGTAGCCAAATGTCGAATGATTCTGGGACTAGTGAATAATGTGTGTGATAAAGCCGAGAAACTGTATTTTTTACTCTTTTAAAGCAGCAATCTCTCTTAAATACTGAAACTGGTTTTCATGTGACCTGCAAATTGACCTTGACCCATTGGGTGTGTATTCAAATTGTATTCAGAAGCCAACTGCTTCTCACCACCTCCTGTGCTATCACCTGTTCCAATCGAAGCCATCATTATCTTTCTCCAGGGTTATTGCAAATAGTCCCCTCACTGGTTTCCTTTTCTCAAAAAAAATTATTTTGAGCAGTGACAATATTTTGGAATAAATGTATCATTTCCCCAGAGGAATGCTTTGACCGTCATTCACTTACTCAATGAATATTTATGCAGACCCAACATATGCTAGCGTTGTTTTGGGCTCTGGCGGTACAGCAAAAGACACTCCAGGTACAGATCTCTGCCTCATAGAGCATATGTCCTGAGAGGCACAATGACCAGTAAAGAAATAAGCAAGGAATGTATAGCCTATGCCAGATGGTGATGGGCACAAAGAAGAAAAATAATGTCAAGTAAAGGGGAGAAAGAAACACAGGGCGTGGGGGTTGTTATTTTAAAGAGGGTAGCTGGGGAAAGCACCTCTGATGAGTTGACATTTAAACAGAGACCAAAAGGAGAGGAGGAAGGGAAACTTGTAGGAAGGAAGGAAAGGGAAGGGTATTCCAGGAAGAGGAAGGAGCAGGTACAAAGGGCCTGAGGCTGAGCAAAGAGGCCAGAATGGTCCAGGCACAGTGGGTGAAGAAAGAATAGTGATGTGGTTATAGACATGGTGTGAATGGGAAAGGATTATGGTAGGCCCTGTGGGCCATCACGAGAATTCAGACTCCTACCCTAATGAGTTGCAAAGCCACTGGAGAATTTTGAAGAAAGAGGTGACTATGGTCTGATTTACATTTTTAAAGGATCATTCTGGCTAAAGAGTCCTGAAGAGTAGTGGGTCTCACAGTTGGGTATGCACCACAATCACCTTGGAGGGCTTGTTGTTGGGCCCGTCGCCAGATTTTCTGATTAAGTAAGTCTGCTATGGTACAGAAGAATTTGCATTTCTGGTAAATCCCTAGGTCATGCTGATGCTGCTGGTCTAGGACCATATTGTGAGAGCCACTGGTGTAGAGAATAGTTTGTAGAAAGGGCAATAGCAGAAAAAGGAAAATCAATTGGGGAGCTATTTGCAATAATCTAGGAAAAAGATGATAATGGCTTCAACCAGCAGAGGAGGTGGTGAGAAGTGTTTGAATTCTGGATTCAATTTGAATATGGATCCAATGGGATTTGCCGGATGATTAATGTGGGGTATTATGAAAGAAGGATTTTAGAGTAAGCAGCTAGATGATGGACTTCCCATTTACTGAGATGAGGAAGACTGTTGGGTGGGAATTATAAGGAAGCTATTGGAAGTTTACTTTGGGGAATGTTAAAGTTGATATGCCTGTTAGATAGCCACATGGAGATGTCAATTAAGCCTTTCTTTTAGAAGAGTCTAGATTTCAGGAGAGAGTTGTGGGCTGGAGATAGATAGCAGAAGACATTAGCATGTAGATGGTTTTGTAATGACTGGCTGAGGTAATCACTGGAGAGAATGAAGGTAGAGAAAATGTTCAAGAACTAAATCTTTGGAAGTCAATTCAATGGTTAGAAATAGGGCAATGAGAGGGACCAGAAATGGGACTGAGAAATGACCAGGGAGGTGAAAGGAAAACCTGGAGAATATGGTAGCCTGGATGTCAAGGGAAGCAAAATTTCAACACGTTCAGGGACATTTACTACAAAGTCACCTTGCTGTGACAGTTATACCAGATAGCCACTGTGAAGCAGGACATGCAGGCTACCATGGAATATGCCCAATTTTAAGGTGGGTTCCTGTGGAAAATGATTTCCACAAGAAAAGATGATCACTGTGATTGAAATTTATTATTTATATGTATACCTTTTAGCTGACTTTATTTTTTGCAACCAAAAAACACAGCATTGAAAGAATTTAATCATTGGCATAGACTAAAATATTTTCTCTTCAAGCATTCTGTTTAGCTGACTCTTGTCATTAAAGTAAATTGTCCAATTTTTAGAGATGGAGCTATAAATCTAAGTACAACACTTGTTTATGTGGGCAAATGTGATAAATATTCCAGCAGGTACAAAGTGTTGTTGGTTTTGGGTTTTTTCCCCCTTCTTTTTATTTTCTGATATTGGGTCTTGGAACTCTGGTTTTTCAGGGGGGAAATTAATTGTGGAAACCAAGGCTTCAAGCTCTGAGTGATCTAGTCTTTACCCTTTCTGTTTTTCCAAGGCCAGCAGATTGGGAATAGCCATGTGATTATAATGCTGGAAGGACTGGGGAAGACAAGATGTGAGACAAGGGCAGGATTTGGGTTGATGACAGAGGACAAGGAGAACATCATCTGGATTTCTTTCCAAGTACCCAAATCTTTAGAGGTCAGTCTATCATCGGAGCTGAGAGATGGGTTCTGCAATTGGCCGGCTTGGGTTTGACTAACTAAGCAGAGGACAGGAAGAACACATGCCCAGAGCCTTATGCTGCTCACCTGGTGAGATCCAACAATGGGCAGATCAGCTCCCTGAAGTTATTGCAGGAAGCTGCCGCTGGCTTTTCTGTGAGAATTACAGTTGCTGGCAATTCAGAGTGTACTGAGCAGAGTCTTTTGTTGCATCTTTTATCAAGGCTGATGGCAGCTCAGTCTTACTCAGTAACCTCATTATAGAAAATTCATTTCACAGAATTTCACATTGCTTTTTTTTTTATGTGTGTATGTGTGAGTTAGAACTTCTGGGAACTCATCTTCAAACCCCAAATAGATATAAAAAAGCACACCACGGATGCTATAGTGCTTCTCATTGTAATGAAAAATATTGCTTGTAACTCAGCATTATATTCTCTAAGTAAATTGGGTAAAGAAGACGATGCCCAGCTCTGTGAGTGATTCAGCTGGTGGGAACTTTGACTTGACTGCAAAAGAGGTGATTGGTACACCCAACACATTGCCATAGGTTACTTCATTAAGGAGGGTTGTAAGTGCTGGTGCTAAGCACTCTTCCTCCCAGAAGCTGCTGAAACAGATGGCATGGAGCTACATTCTGCTTCTCTATAAGGAGAAAACAAGTGTTTATTATTCAGGTTTACTTCTCAAATTGGTTATTAAAAATACTTAGAACTAGGTATATAACCTCACCATGCCTCACTCATTCAACAAATAGATATTTCAGGCATTGTTCTCTGTGTTTGGGATATATTAGTCAATAACACAGACAAAAATCCTTCCTTACTTGGAGTTTACATTTTAGTAAGGTAGAGAAAAAATAACTAAAAACATAGTAGATAGTTAAATTATGTAAAATGTTGGAAAGCCACAAAATGATATAGAAAAAAGCCAAGCATAATAAGAGGTTTGAGCATGAAGAGAGGGACAAATTGTCATTTTTGATAAAGGAGATAAGGTAAGTCACCTTTGAGAGAGTGACATTTGACTACAGAGTTGCAAGAGGTGAAGTGGTTAGCTAAGTGGATTTCTGGGGGAAGAATGTTTCAAGCAGATGGAAGAGTCAAGGCCTTAGAGCAGAAACAATCCAGGAATGTGTAAGGAATACCATGGAGACCAGTGTGGCTGGAGCGGAATGAGCGAGGGATGAGACCCTGTTCGTAGAGGGTCTCACTGGTCTCTTTAAACACTTTGGCATTTAGTCAAAGTAAAATGGGAATCCCTGGGAGGAGTTTAAACAGAGGAGTGATATGATCTGTGTTACATTTTAGGAAGCTCATTCTGGTTTCTGTATTAGGAATAGCCTCTTTTTTTAAAAAATAAATTTTTTAATTTTCATGGATGAGAGAGAGAGAATGGGAGAGAATTTGTTGTTTTACTTACTTATGCATTGTTGGTTGCTTCTCATGTGTGCTCTGACTAGGGATCAAACTGACAACCTTGGTGTATTGGGATGATGCTCTAATCAACTGAACTACCCAGCCAGGGCAGGAAAGGCAAGTTTGAGAACCAGATGCCCAAGTGGGAGGCTGTAGTGATAATCCAGTCAAGAGATGATGACGACTGAAACTGGGGTGGCAGCTATGGAGGGTGGAGGAAAGTGGTATGCGTGAAAGGGATCAACAGTGATACCAAGGTTTCTGGTATGAGCAGTTGGACAGATGGAATTTCTACTGAAATAGGAAGTATCTCTGCTCCACTGTTTGTAAGAGAAGATGAGAACTTCACTTTTAGACATATTATGCTTGAGATGCCTGTGAGGCATCAAATGGACATGTCAAGTAGGCAGCTGCATGTATGAGTCTAAAGTTCAAAAGAGAGCTTGGTCAGGAGATAATAATATGGGAGTCACTGTCATATTGTAAAGGAGTTTATTAAGAAAGTTTTTACAGGAAAAGAAGAAAACCAAGGAATGATCCCTGGGGTGTTCCGAAATTAATAGGTCTTGGTAAAGAAGAGGGACTAAAATGAAGGTTGAGAAGAAATAAACAGTGAGATAGGCAAATGAAAAAGTACAATGCCCTGTAAGCTGAGTGAAGAAAATATACTGAGGAGGAGGGATTGATCATCATGCCACTGGATTTACAGGTGAACTTTCACCTCTGTAAAATGCAGGTAATAATAGGACCTACCTTGGAGGCTTAAATGAGATAATTTACATGAATGACTGATGTCACAATGTATGATGTCAGTAAGAGTTCAAAAATACTACCTATTATTTTTATTTCGAACATTTCTGAAAAATCACTTACAGTAGTTACCCTTTGTCCATGGTTTCCCTTTCCATAGTTTCAGTTACCTGGGGTCAACTGTGGTCTGAAAATATGAAACAGAAAATTATGGAATGAACAATTCATTAGTTCAAAATTTTGTGCCATTCTAAATAGCGTGATGAAATACCATGCTGTCTCACTCCATCTCTCCCAGAACAAGAATCATCTTGTTGTTCAGTGTATCTACTCTCTATACATGACCTGACCATTAGTCACTTAGTAGCTATCTTGGTTATCTGATAAGTTTTCAGGGAGAGAAAGAGAGAAAAAGAGACCACATTCACACAACTTATTCCTTCTTCTCTTTCTACCCCTCCTTTTTCTTCACTAGTATCACTTAGAAACCTTAAGTTACAAAAGTATTTTTCATATCTGGTGGGTAACATTCCATGGTGGGGGAGTGAAATCTAGTGTTGACATCCTGACCATTCTCCTCTAGGTTTATCTCAAAATACACAGGGTGCTTGTCTATAGGCTGTCAGTTTAGTTGTATGTGGAACCAGTGGCAAACACCCCATTTTTTCTCCTCTTTCTTGTGTTTGTTAATCAAGGTTTTGGAAAAAGCATTGTGGAATATGCAAGATGATGAATCTTTATGATGGGCCTATACACAAGAACCCAACAGAGCCTTCAGTAAACTGGGAACTGAAGTACAGTTATGGGAGTAGAAACAGATGCTCTGAATACTCCACCCATATTCTCTTGCCTTTACCACTTCCTCTTAGGCTGCCTGATTTCAACTGCAGTACCTATATTTCTTTGCCTGAGGTTTTCCAAAGTAGCTGTACAGCTGTGCATTTCCAGCAACACTATCTGAGATTCCAGTTGCCCCTCAACCCTGTCATCACTTGGAACTGTCAAGTTCTTTTTTTAAAAGCCACTCTGATAGGTGTAATATTGCCTCATCATGGTTTTAATTTTCACTTTCCTAATGACTAATGATGTTGGGTTTCTTTCATGTGCTTATTGGCTATCTATGTATCATTTTTAGTAAAATGTCTGTTGAAATTTGTTTAAAAACTCAGTTCTCTTATTGTTGCATTTTGATAGTTATTCCTATATTCTATCAAATATACGAGACAGGTTTTTTTTTTGTCACATAAGTGATTTGCAAATATTTTCTCCCAAGACCAGTCTGTGACTTGTCTTGCTTTTAGTAGTGTCTTTCACAGAACAAAAGTTTTGTATTTTGATGAAATCCAGTTTATCAAATGTTTTTTTTCTTTTATGGCTTGTGCCTTTTAGGTGTTGTATATAAGAACTAACTCATCTAGGTCACAAACTAGAATCAATACCTAAATGTTTATGATTCATTTTGAGTTCATCTTTGTATATGGTATGAGAAATGAATCAAGACTCATTTATTTGGAGAAATGACTCCTGCTCCCATTCCTTGTAGAATGGATTTTCTTTTTGAGACATCAAGTACTGACTCCAAACCTAAGGGTAGCACAAGGCAAGAACAATGGCTTCTACTGGTTATATAATGCAGTAGATATTCTCATTCTCATCTTCAACACTTGCTTTAAAAATTTTTAAAAAACCATGCAAATACAAAAGACAGACACACACACCAGGAAAGCAGGCAGGCTCCACTGCATTCTAAAACGCTTGCTGCACTACAATGCGGTGATGAGTGTTGCCCCACCATTGTGAACACCTAAGGCTCCACCCCTTACTAAGTAACAGGCATGCTGAGACAAGAAAAAATGGCCCAAATGAAAGAACAGATCAAAGCTCCAGAAAAAAATACAACTAACCAATGAAGAGATAGGCAACCTCTCAGATGCACAGTTCAAAACACTGGTAATCAGGATGCTCACAGAAGTGGCTGTGTATGGTTGCAAAATAGAGGAAAAAGTGAATACCCTGAAAAGTGAAATAAAGGAAAATGCACAGGGAACCAACAGTGAAGGGAAGGAAACTGGGGCTCAAATCAACAGTTGGGAGCAGAAAGAAGAAATAAAAATTCAATCAGAACACAATAAAAAATAATTCAAAAAAAATGAGGAGAGGTTTAGGAACTTCCAGGACAACTTTAAATGTTCCAACATCCAAATCTTAGGGGTGCCAGAAGGAGAAGAGGAAGAACAAGAAATTGCACACTTATTTGAAAACATAATGAAGGAGAACTTCCCTAATCTGACAAAGGAAATAGACTTCCAGGAAGTCCAGGAAGCTGAGAGAGTCCCAAAGAACTTGGACCCAAGGAAGCACACACCAATGTACATTATAATTACATTACCCAAGATGAAAGATAAGGAGAGAATCTTAAAAGCAGCAAGAGAAAAGGAGACAGTAACCTATAAAAGAGTACCCATAAGACTGTCAACTGATTTCTCAAAAGAAGCCTGATAGGCAAGAAGAGACTGGAAAGAAGTATTCCAAGTCATGCAAGGCAAGGACCTACATCCAAGAATACTCTATCCAGCAAAGCTATCATTTAGAATGGAAGGGCAGATAAAGTGCTTCCCAGATAAGGTCAAGTTAAACGAGTTCATTATATGAGGTCATTATAATCTCACCAAGTCTTTATTATATGAAATGTTAAAGGGACTTATCTAGGAAAAAGAAGAAGATCAAAACTATGCACCGTAAAATGACAACAAACTCACAACTATCAATAACTGAACCTAAAAAACAAAAACAAAAACAAACTAAGCAAACAAATAGAACAGGAACAGAATCACAGAAATGGACATCACATAGAGGGTTATCAGTGGGGAGGGGGTGGAGAAGAATGGGGCAAAAGATACAGGGAATAAGAAGCATAGATGGTATGTACAAAACAGACAGGGGGAGGTTAAAAATAGTATAGGAAAGGTAGAAGCCAAAGAACTTATACATATGACCCATGGACATGAACTAAGGTGGGGGGAATGTGGGTGGGAGGGGGGCGCAGGGCAGAAGGGAATAAAGGGGAGCAAATGGGACAACTATAATAGCTAAGATAAATAGCTCAATAAAATATATTTTTTAAAAAGGAAAAAAGATTCATTTATTTGCATATGGATGCTTTTTCCAGTTTTTTTCATTTCATATCTATGCATAATTTTTTATTGTTGTTCAAGTACAGTTGTCTCCATTTCCCCGCCACACTCTCCCCTTCCCCCACCCCCCCACTTCCCACCTTTGATCCTATCCCCTTTGGCTTTGTCCATGGGTCCTTTATACATGTTCCTCGACA